ACAACATTGAAGGATTCCCTCACTACTTTTCGCTGACAGTGGTCGTGCCCAGGTCCTATTGAATGGAGATGTTAGGGGCCAGGAATGACATGATTGAGATTTCTGTAAACATAAATCACAGTTTTGCTCATTGTGGCACTCTAAGGACCTAGCATAAGAAGTGAAAAAGAGGCCCTGAGAAGCGGTCAGGATGCCCGAAGTCTTAGTGCTACGATGAAAATAGCAATTGCACCAACACAGTTGTCAATGTCGCTTTGCCGTTGAGTTTCTAGAGAACCCAAAGACGTAGGCAGATGCAAATAGGCGACACTGGAACTTTCATCAATACACATTCCAATTCCTTTTGTCTGTTTCGTTCCCGAGAACAACACCGAGAGGATGAAACTAAGCAGCCGTTGCTAGAAACAGTGTGGACGCAGTTTCCAGTATCATTTGCCTATTTCAGGCCCCGAAAACAACATAAAAAGGGGCGGAACCAGGAAGACACTACTTGAACTTGCATTAACATAATTCCCAATATTGTTTCCTTGTTTCACGCCTTGAAAGCAGCAAAAAGGGCCCGAAACGAGCCGAAATGAACTTCGAGCTAATGATGGCCCTTTGGGATGGGACTCTAGAGGGTCACTTCAATGATTAAAGCATATTGGATGCTTAACGAGCCCCACGATGGGCGCCCACTATTTATACTCAAAATTTTCGGTATTTCGGACGTCAACTCATTAAAACAATTGGTAAAGATGAGGGGTTTCGTCAAATTACAATCTGGGTGAAAAGAGAGGAGTTTTCTAAACTATTTCAAAAAATAGAAGAAAAGAAGAGAAATAAAAAATAAATGAAAGAAAAAGAACAAGAAGAATACCTTAGGCCGGGGCCCTTGGGCGTGGCCCTCGGAGCCAATGTCGGTTCGGAGTTGATGGTTGCACAAGTTTCCCAGTCCCCATGGGTTTCTCTTCGCGAGGTGAAGATAAATGGACAAGGGTCAAAAAAATTAGGCTATTCATACCTCTTTTGGTTTGGGAAGGGTCGAGTCTAGGTCCTAAGGCTTGGGGATTAGAGTATGCGTTCGGTTTTGAGTTGGGTAGAATCTGGAGTTAGAGCAGCAGAGCCTCGATTCTTTTGATCGAAAATTTGGATCCTCAGGGCGAATAAATGACCTCTTATTTGTAAGCAAACATGCTTGAAATTAAATATGGACCATTCGGATTGTGGTGCAGCTTGCAACTCCTCCAATACAATTGTCATAGGTGTCACCCTATCATTAATTACAGTTCGTGTAATTAATGTTTAAGTAACCCGTGATCTTGTAGTATGGCATGGTTTTGGACGTGGGGTGTAATGGTTTTGAAGAACATACCAGTGTCCTTCTTCGAGGTTTTTTTGGTTTTGAAGAACTTACCGTTCACCTGAGATTTCCATGTGTCCTTCTTCGAGAATTTTTTGGGCAATGTTCTAGCCAATCAGAAGCTGACAAAATTGGGAACTTCGTTAATGCAAATGTCACATGTGTCACAATCAATGACCATTGGGTTATGTCAGATCATTTGATATTTTATTTAATTAATCCAATGGTGGCAGGGCTACCACGGGTGCCAGCGTCGTTACCTTACTAACACCTCACATGTTAATCCATATATTAGGGTTGTCAGTGGCTGATTTAACCTGTCTAACATTATTGCCAATGGAGTTGACGCATTTGGCGACTTCGTTGCCGACTTTCTCTACCCGTTGGCTTCGCATACTAAGGTATTTGCTGTCATGAGTTGTTCAGCTAGTATTGAATCTTTGGAAAGGTTTATCTTCAACCGAGTTAGGATTGGTGTTGACCAAATTCCCAATGTTGTCGGAACTGTTGGCTTCCTGGTTGTTTCTAGATCGGTAGCCTTTGGTTCTGGTCTGCTTAGATCAACTTTCAGGAGCGTTCTTTAGTGCTCCAGACGCTGCTAGGTGAATTGAGTGTTTAAGGTGTGGTTCATGGTCAGTTATGGTTGGTTCAGGTTTGGGGGCTACCTCGGGGAATTTTGGTCTCCCACAGTTTCCTCAATTGAGATTGGGGTGTCTATAAGACTAGAGGCGGTAGCAACACAACGTTGAAATATTGATGGGATGCTTTAGAATCTTTAAGGTTTTAAAATTACTGAAGACATCTGAAAGTTTAGAAATAATAATAATCAAAACAAGGCAGTAGTTAAGATTGATAGTAAAAAAATCTCTAAAGGAGATAGTTTTCGATAATCCAAGAGAATGGACAGATTAAGGAAGATGTCATACATAGAATTAGAGCTGGATGAGCGAAGTGGAGATGTATTTCCAAAGTGCTATATTTTCTTTGGTAAGTATCTAAAATGTTATCTGATCGTTGCATTTATTGGCACCGAAGGAGAAGTTCTATAGGACGGCTGTAAAACCAATCATATATTATGGGACAGAATGTTGAGCGGTCAAAAAACAATATATCCAAAGAATGAACATAGCTATGATGAGGATGTTGTGATGGATGAGTGACAAGACAAGAAATGATAGAATTCGAAATGAATACAAATGAGGGACCTTAGTTGTGGCTTCAATGGGAGATAAGAGGAGCGAAAGTAGTTTTAGTTAGGCTGGGACATGTTCAACATAGATTTAATACAACACTGATTAGGATGAGCGATTTAGTTCCAGTGGAAGGCTATAAAAGGGCAAGAAGAGGGCCCTAAAAGACAATGATAGAAGTAGTAAGAATATATGTGATGAATTTTGGTCTTATTGAGTGCATGATCCTTGATAGAGAAGAATGGAGGAATATGATTCATGTAGCCGACCTCAAATAATTGAGATAAAGCTTGCATGATAATGATGATGATGATGTTGAAGATGATGATTCCTGATAATTCTTTTAGTAAAGATTCAAGAGAGTATCAATAAGGAGATTGTTGGGATTCTCATCCTGTGAGGAGAGGGACTCTTACTTTCATGGCTAGAATGACGAGGGACCATTCGGAAAAGAGAATAGAGGTAGAGATGGGAATTGCCCCCATTATGCAAACCTAAATATATCAACTTGATGGGTGTTCTAGAGTGGAACAAGGAGAGTAGAGATGAGAGAGAGAGAGATCCGAAAGAGAGAGAGATCCAAGGGAGAGTGAAGCACTCTTGAATAAGAAATCTATCTCTTCTCTTAGGAAGTGTAGCAAGGATCTGTTAGCAAAAAAACCTATATGAGCTACATTTTGTCTCGGCATTAAATCCTCAGATTAGAAAGAAAAAAAAATAGAAGAAAATGTGTATCCTTGGGATAGTATGTATTCCCCTCTCCATCAAACCTTGTAACTTTAAATCTGCAGGGCAGGCAGATTTTGCGGTTACTCTCTTTTTGTGCAATCACCTTAAATTTGTCCGCTCAGTACTTGTTTTCGTGGTTTCATTGTATACCACACGCATCCATATTTGTTGGTCAATTCTTGGTCCAATAAAGCACACTCGCAAAGTGTTTGATAGTGGGTCCGAGAAGCACAAACTCCGTTTTTATTTCCATATCCCAAAACTTCTTATCTTAGGGCTTAGGGAACACACGTGACAAAAAGCTAAATCTTCATGAAAAAGCACCTTCACTTCTAATTCTCCACATTTCGTAGATTAATCGTGTGTCCTAGCAGCCACACGTGCAAAATAACATCGCTTTGGTCTATATAGAAAGTTACATCTCAAAATGATTCCTTTTCAAAAGCCAAATATTCGAATATTTTACAGGAATTTTATTAAAGAGACAGGCACGGTTCAGCTCCCAATTCGATGCAGCCTAAGTCGTCCCATGAGGTGGGAGCGACAATGGCTAGAGACCACCAACTCTAAAATTCATTTAATTAAGGAAAAACATATGCTATTTCTGCCAGAGCAAATTGTCTATTTGCTCCCTTTGGTAAATCTCAAGCTAGGAATATTTTTAGGTCTCCAAATTTCCAGGACGTAGCCTCTTATGCTTAGCCACCAACCTCTAAAAGGAAAATTTCCAAATCGTATGTTCTATGTCAATGAATAAAAAGACCTTTCGGCAGATTGTCCAGTTTTTGGAGAGCAAGATTGCACAGTTGAATACTGAAAATCTATAATTATCTAATTATGCTAAGTTGGATACTGAATTTTTTTTTAAAAAAAGAACGTCTCTTTGATCCGAGAGAGTATATGCACAGTATGCTCTCTAGGGAACATGCTATACATGCCCTTTAATCATTCCAAACAGGTGAATTTGGAAAGAGAATTGGCAATATGGTGCGCACTTGTCCTCTGACTTTTGAATAAAGGTCCAAAATAGAGATATAGTCTTTTATTTATATATATATATATATATATATATATATATATATATATATATTATATAATAATAATATAATATANAGACAGTAGTAGTAGAAGACGACGACGTAGTAACGTAAGTAAGTACGTACGTATTAGTAATCGTACTAATAACG